GCAGAATATGAGTTATTTCTGGAACTTAAAAGATTACAGAAAACATTAGAAGCTAACTGAAAAGGCCATTGCCTTGAAAATATTGAAATTATCAACAAAAGAGGAAAGGAAGTCTTTTCAGAACCCTCTTGTGATTATGCAACTTTGCTAGAGTTTGAGTCTGCAAGCTGTAACAGTTCATTATTGCACACAAGTGAAAATGAAAGAAACCCTTGTATGATGGGGTTAGAAGTCAAAAAAGCAAAGAGAGAAGCTCAAGGCCACAAGAAGAGGAGCAAAAGCAAGCCAGAACCGGAAAGACAATTTCAAGAACACCAGCATATAAGAGAATTAAAAAATTAATTCTAAATGTTGGGATCAGGAGCACCACTTGAGAGGATCAGTTAGGAACGAGGAAATCAAGAGGATATTGAATATGTGAATTTGAGAATGCTGAAGTTGCAACTATTTGCCATGACATTAAACCTGGGGTATCAGAAAATGCAGGCATTTTCAATAATCCAGATGACCCTTCACCTCAGCAAAGTTTTAAGCTGCAACTGTGGTTAAATTGTCCACATTGTATGCTCACACTTCTCACAAAGTCCTCTGCAGGGGAAACGTACATTCACAGAAGCCTAAGTGTAAGTCCTGAAGATTTGAGCATACACCTAATAAAAAAAGATTGTTGAGTCTTTCTTCTTTGAATAATATTACACTCTGCACCTTGTTAGAAAGCCTAAATCAGAGAGAGGCTGACATGTACCCAACCAAAAGTCATTTGCACTACACCATAGGCTCACTGTCATTTGATTACATCATGCACCATCAAAACTCCACTTCCATAATTTGCAGAGTTTGCAAGCCACAGTATGCAGCAATCAACAAAAAGACACCAAAAAACCTACCACAGAAAGAGAATATGGTACATTTTATTCATGTTTCCCTTAGAAACAAAAACAAGTTGTACAACTCATTTGGACTCGCTAAGAAAGAAATATAGAAGACAGTTTGCTATTTATTTAACCAAAAGGTTCTTTTTAACAGATACATTCATTTGCTCATTTAACAACAAAGTGCTTGAGAAATGCACCAGTGACAAAGCTTTGAACAGTGTGACCACTGTCTGCTTTTTTGCAACATTAATCACAAAACAACCAGCAGATTTGTGATGTTTTTAAGAAAAATTAGCAATTTTATGGCAAGTAAATAGCTCCACCAGCCCAGGTAAGTTCAAATATATTGTCAGTTTCAAATACGTTATAGCAACATGTATTTGGCAAGATTTATTGCTTAATTTGTGGTATTTTGCAGGTTTTGTTGAATTTCACAGGATTTACTTGAAACTCATGGCTCTACAACTGCTTAAAATATCAGAAATCCTGTATCAGTAACGTTCTTAAAAAGAAATAGCTAGTCAGAAACAAAATGTTTCCTGTTACTTGAATAACCCTACTCTTTAATTAGCAATAATTAGCAATGAATAATGACTTTTTCTTGCATTTTATTTTGGAAAGTATCCAAAGAATTTATGAAATGAATCATGGCTGATAAATATTTGGTACCCCCCCCTCTAAAAACAATGGCAAATCACTTGAGCATTTATTTATTTACCTTCACTGCTGCTCCTTTTAAAGTGCTTTCATGATTAACTGATGATAGCTTTCCTTGACACAAATATTGGAAAACAGCAGGGTGAAGAAATGACAGTGAAGGTCCACTTTGCAGAATTGACACAACCATCAGCTTAGCAGCAATCCCTTTGATTTCATACCACCATAGTATCAGTTGGTTTACCCATGGAGAAAAGAGCTCTTTTAACATAATCCAGAATTTCTGCAAGGGAAACATAAAATATGCTGGGATGTTGTTGTCATGTTGACCATGGAGCTCTATTGGTCTATGGTTGAGTCAATTTATATCATAAAAAATATATAAGTCAAACAGGTCAAAAAGTGTTCTGCTGAAGAAACATTTTTAACCTCTTCACATCCCTACACTTAAATTTATATACCAAATCTGATTTTGGAAAAATCCTGTTGACACATTCACAAAATATATCCATAAATTAGCCTACATGTGTCGTGGGGAAAAGGCAAAGGGGTACTGTATTTACCTGCCAATAAGCCACACCAGCGTATGGGCCCCAGCCCAAACATATGATCAATTTTGGTGGAAATAATTAGTGCATTGCAATCAGAAATAGCATGGCTGTTTTAATGAAACCCATTAACAAAGAAAGTTGTCAAATTTTTATTGGGCTGGCTTACAATAAAATGACCACAATGCCACAGTATGCCATACAGAGTAACAAGTCAGTTTGAAAGCTTTTGGAGCATTCTCACACTTCTGCATATACGTAGCTTCTGTTTAAATATACATTTGTAAATAGTTTAACGTGATAACTAATAATTTTAGATTTAAGAATTTCAGACTTTGTAAATGTATTTTATAGTCCGTCACTTTTATCATGAGCCTCCGGCTCGGGAGATTGGGCAACCACTCCCCGTGTACCTGACGGTAAATAAATTATACTTACTTATACTTGCTCACCAAAGGAGACTCAAAACACCTTAGTTCTTTCAATTGTTTCCCACCTTTAACATGAAAATTTTCACTTTAAACTTCTTTTTAGAGTTTATTCTAAGTATCATTGAACAAAAAAATACTATATGGTTTAAGTACAAATCCAAAACTATTTCGAATTTCAATGGTTTGCAATCTGATGCAAAAAACCAGTTGTGGGAACAGTCAAAGGTCATCGGCTGATTAATTCAATTGAAAAATCCTACGTCAACATTAACACCTGGATTGATGGCTATTAGCTTTTTGAAACACTTTAACAGACCAGAATAATGGTGCACTAAATTCAAAACTCATGGAATTTACTGCTGCATATCTTTAATTTCACTCAGTTGAAAAAAAAAAAAAAAAAAAAAAAAAAAAAAAAAAAAAAAAAAAGGAAGCTTGCAGTCACAATGAATATATATTCCAAGGTACATCTTTTGGAGGCAGGAGACTTGGTGCCAAAATATTTGTTCCTACATTTAAGCCACACCCCTAACTTTTGTCTCATTTCACCCAAAAAAAAAACTGCTGCCAAGCTGAGGATAAAGATGGTACTATAAGTACTTGAATGGCATATCAATAATAGCTAATTTTCTTTGCACATTTTATTCCATTTTCCACTTCACAAATATTGAAAATTGGAAAATTTTGGAATTTAGTGCTTCAGTATCAATATTGCTTCATGCTAGTTGATTATAGCTAAATAACTAAATCTGTGACCCCAATCCAAACTCAGAGACAACTCTTTGGCATATGGTCACTGTTTTTTGTTACATTGTGTGCTGTATTGACTAGTCAGTTTCACAGATGGAAAGATAAGTGTACATAAATCATCCCTCAAACTGATATCAGTTCACAATACTCTGGTCAAACTCATAGAACAATCAATCAAATCTTTACTCAAATGAGTTTGTTAAAAAATTTTAACATGCAATTCCACCATACAAACTGCAAAACACTGCACTATCTCTTAGATAAAACCAAAATCCAAAACAAATTCCACCATATTTTTTTTCAGAAGGTATCTGGCAAGTGAGCTGAGAACTTCTGCCAGAGATTAGCGACATCCATCACTTTTGCAGATGGTACTAAGTAATAACCACTGATCTTTCTCTCCTATAAATCACATATCAACAAAAATTTCTCAGCTAGCACAGCCTGTATGCAATTGGTCCCAGTTAGTGCAAGGCTTCATCTTACAAAAATCCAGCTAGACTATCTTGTGCACATCAGCTCAGACAGTTTTCTTTTATTAATTTTACAAAGCAAGGTTGCTTTGAGAAATTAAAGAAGAAAGAAAGAAGAAAGAGTGAACCAGTAAATGTGCCCAAAACATTTGCAACGCCATGTTTTCTGTTTGTTTGATTCGTTTCTCTGACTAGTAACTCTGTTACCAGTCACGAGTCATAAGTCATGCCATGCCATTGTTAGTCAGTCACATTAGTCAAGCAAGCTCTTTTTGTGTGAATGGATATTATAGTTCCTTATCCCACAATGAACAGCAGGAAGGTGTTGTTAATGTCAGCTTACA